AAAGTTATTTTCAAACGATTTCTTTGAATAGAGCTAGTTAAAATATTTTTCCCGGAAAGTATGAAGTGTGGACACTTATATTCTCTCGCAGGTGTTGGGAGATCAATCCACAGTATGAAAGTGGCATTTACTATAACCAGAAGTCTCGGCTAGAGAATAAACGGGTAATTTGCCTCCGTGGCCGAACGGTTACCATGCCGGACTGCCACGCAGAGGTCTCAGGTTCGATTCCCGGGCCGGGAGAAATATTTGTCCATACAAATATTTCTCCCTACACCCAAACACACGAGAGCAATAAATTTGTTCCATACAAACATTCCTCCCGGCCCGGGAATCGAATTCGGGACCTCAGCATCGCAGACCAGCATCCGTTTGGTACCGCAGCAGTTAATAGGTTCCGTCATAATATTTCTGTAGAGCTAGCACAAACAAGCGCGACTTGCGCGAGAGCGACATACAGCGCGAGATTTCTATGCGAGAATATTAGAATTGCAGTATCTCGCGCTTTATGCGTGTCGTTACGACTTTGAGCGACGACTACTCTTAACGATGTTGTGCATATTCATAAACCACACCTTTGGTGTAATAAGGCTACACCTGCAAAATGACAACTTTTCAAGGGAGAGGTTTAAGGAGTCGTAGAAATTCGTGGAAACGAACAAAATTAGTCGATCTAAAATAGGCGAGTTATGAGTAACTTATCACATAATTAAACTTTGTTTTTTGTTTCATATAGGTGAAGCCGTGGTAGCGTTTTTAGTTTAAAACCTACCGCCTCTCTATTTAAGGCCGTGAGTTTGAATTCGGGCTCACACCTCTGAGCTTTTTTTGTGCGATATTTAATTTGAAATTTACTATGAGCCTCACCGAAAAGTGAAGGCAAACGTCGTGATGAAACCTGCAAGCCGAAGAAGGTTCACAACCCTCGGAAAAGTCAAGTTCCCATTAGGCCTGTATGACGGACTATGGCCTAAACACTGGACTGGACTGGACTGGCAGGCAAGGTTGATGTTGTTTTGTTGTTGTTCGTATTATTTTTATGACTTTCTTGTAATAAGCACGCCATATTGCATGCCATACGACCACATGTGGCTTTATTATACCTAGGGAACGAAATCAATATAATTTCAAATAAGAATATGTGTTTTACGAGTTTATACGTAATTATACGCCATGCCACGTAATAAAATGCCATTTTGGATACTGCGCAGTTTCCGAACTCTTTCGAGGAATGTAACTATTCGAATCTTATATACGCTCGTACTTACATGTCTCACGTATTTAATATACCAGTAAACTGTAAACAGAACGACGCAATACTATAATCAATTTACGATGATCCCTGTTTGAAAGTATAGGTATTTCTTATTCAAACCTTTCAAAACAATTGCAAAGGACATTTAGCACCGTTCCATTTGCTTTACAACAAATTGTATGTTAGAAGAGTTCTATAGGTGAGAGGTAAATAACTCCATATTTTTAACCGACTTTAAAAAGAGGAGGTTCTCAATTCGATTGTATATTTTTCTATGTATGTTACCCAATTACTCCGGTGATTTGTGAACCGAATTTGAAGATTCTTTTTTTGTTGAAAAGATGGAACCTCAGTATTGGTCCCATTTAAATTTGAAGAAAATATTCCACCTCTAAGGCTGGCATACTAAGTAATGAATCCGGTGTCGCACACTTTCCGGTAACCGATTTTAATTAAACTTGACAAATAGATGTAATTCCACGAATTTTTGAGGTCGGTTTTTTGTAAATAAGTCGTGGAATTTAGATGTTTTTACAAGCACTGTTTTCAGAATGTTAAAACTCATGCAATAGTAACAGACATTAAGTCCTGTCATCGTTTGTTTTTATTTTTGTTTAACATATTTTATTTGAACTTAAGATGATTTTAAATACGTCTCACAAAAAAATACTCACTCTTTTAAAACGCTCTTTGGCAAAAAATTACTATTTCGCGCTTTTTTCTTTACCTCTCACCTACAGATATTTATATTGGAAAAGTAAACTTGGCTAGGGATATCTCATAGTCAAGTTAAATTTCATGATTTCAATGTATTTATTTACTATTACATGAAAATATATTAATATTTAAAATATTTCCGATATTTTATAGCATATAGGTACTTTTTGATATATTATAATCACGATAAACAAGATTGTGTTACTAAACACGTACGATAGATTTATATGTCGGTATTAAATAGGAGCGATAAATAATAACTCTGTTGTTTTGTAAAACCTACTCTCTGCTGAACTCCCGAATGATTCATTCTATTTGTTGCCGAAATTCATATCAAATACTTGATACTACACACACCGGCACGTTTAGCGGAACGGAATATAAAATAGTAACTATTATATTATTGACACGAAGATCCAACAAATGCAAAGATTCTTTCGATCCGGCTAGTATTGAACAAGCACCTGTTTGCCAGATCGGGGCTAACCACTCTCCTAACAGAGCTACGGAATGAGTCAGCAGACCCCACGGTTATGTGTGTACTTGTTGCCGATCTTTGTTTTTTTATTTAAACGGTTTTTTTCGGTAGCGCCACCTGTGAGAAACCAATGATATTTTTTTGGAAACTCAGCGATTTACGGTTCACGTTAGTTCACGGTTAGCCCCGGTCTGGCAAACAGATGTTTGTTGGTTCGCATCCAGCCGGACCGAAAGAATTTTTCTTTGTGTTTGTTCGATTTTTGTATAAATAATAACACCAAACCAGTGGAGTCTTTTAAAAAAAAAAGAATACCGTGATAATAAAAACATGATAATGACATGATATAGTAACGATTACCAACTAAAACCTGACAGTGTTTAGCCACGTCGCTTTTCGATGGGAACGCGGGAATGCACCTGCATCAGCACCACCGCCAGCCGTCTCCGGCTCCGCCTTATGCTAATGACGTGCCGCAATACAATGCACGTCATCCAGTCTCGAGGACCTGTCTAACTAAGTACTAAGTACAGCCTTACTCAACCCTTATTGAATGTCATCGAAATTAAATAAAAATATTTTTTTTATTTGTTTAGTGACTGAAACAAAAACAGCTGAAAATAGAAAACAGTTTTACATAACTTAAATCAAACTTTAATATATAAAAAATATTTTTCAACTAAAGTTTACGAAACTTACAATAATGCAAAATCTACCGCGAACCACTCGAGCTGTATTAGTAGGAAATTAAAACAAATGAATGAAAAAAAAAAAAGTTGGTATTTTTTTATTTTCAAATTAGACCTAAAATAAAACAAACTGCCAGACTTCGGAAAAAACACTTTTTTTCCACGGATTTTACTAATGCTCCGATAAATGTGCCTGTTATATCTACACACTAATTACGTAATGGTGTAATTAAAACTATGTAGATATATGACAAAAAGCACAATGACACGTAGATTACCTATAAAAACTATACTGTTATATCAAAGTTACTACTATACTGTTATCTCAGCATATTTGCTGTATAATTGTTGATATTGTATACTTGATATTAGATTAAACGAGTAATCTGAAGCCATGTACTTGCTAAACGCTTTATGGAATAAAGTACAAATATCCAACAACGTAGACAAAATATAATTTTCTACTGACAAGAAGGTGAATGTCCTGCGACATCGAATAAGTAATTACGAGGTCTGTAAGGTTATTATGAAAAAATGTTTGCATCAAATACATTATAAGATGTCGCAAATTATAATTTGGCTTACTGACCACCATAATATACTTTATTTTAGTTCTTATAAAGGATATAACCCGTACCAAATAACACAAAGTTAATATATTTTACTGAACATAGATTATTATCCAAACTAATATTATAAATGCGCATGCGAACTGTCTGTTACGTTTTTACGCCTTAATTGCTGAAACAATATTGATGAATTTCGGTATAGATATAGAAGGGACCTAAGAAAAGGACAAAGGCTTCTTTTTGTCGCAAAAATAAATCTTAAAGAGAGTGAAATAGGGATGAAAGTTTGTATGGAGAACGAATAAAACTATGAAAATTAGTACAGTAAGCTACTCAAAGTACTTACTTATTCTTCGAAGACGAAGTTGCGGGCATCAGTTCTTACAATGTAACATAACTTTGTTGAATGAAGAAATAAAATTTGTCATAGATGACGCTACGCTTCACGACGATCCACAAATATCGTTAAAAATCAAAAACAAAGACCTACAAGAAGGACATAAAAAAATTCATGAGGTGTGCTGGTTCGTTTCGTGGTTTAATAGATGGGAAGGACGCTAGTTCGAATGGATTTTTATAAGTATTCGATCTTTGTTATTAATTATTATAACTTGGTTTTATCTGTCTACCATGTCTCGTTGCGCATGTGTGGTTATCGATAATAACAATAGTGTATGCAGAAAGCAAAAGTGACCAATAAACTGATGGGATTATTGAATCTAACCAACAGAATTTTCTGTCTACATTACCCATATACTTGTGTACAATGTACCTAAGATTTGTACTTGATGCACCTGTCTAATACTTTTTTGATTACTTTAGACAGGCTACTCTTCAAAGATCTCGATAAACAACTTCTCTCCAAGCATCTACAAAAATATTTTAAGTGTATTACTTCAAGTGTATTATTATTACATTTTATATGTCGCAATAAGTACAAAAAAGGCATCAGAAAATTATCAAGTTTATGTACAATTGGTTGGAACATACAGCTTGACAAAACCTAAGCAGACTGCTTGTCCATAAATGGCTGGGAGAAATTCATATAGCCGTTAAACAGTGAATAATTCGGTCATTACATTTCGGGCTTAAAGAATTTGGTCATCTTCAGAGATCAACGCTCCCATTGTGTCCGTGCGAGCAGTGACAGCAAAAATTAGGCTTCGGATTCCTGTGATTTTTTTGTGTATGAAAAGCGGAGGACGCGGGCGGGCGGCATAGCCAGCTCGTGTATATATAGAACGGTACATCCGAGCGCCGCCCAGTTACTCGTAGACGCTCGCATCGGAAACACGTCGTCAGTCGTAATCATTACGAGCTTGACACGCTAACTGAAATTTTTAAAAGAGACTTAAGTGACTTTCAAGATTTAGTGCAAGTGAGGAAAACTAGCAAGTGACGCGTGTTGGCTGGTCGAAACTAGTATCTTTCCCGGTAACCGTCCTAAACTACAAATAATCAGGTGAGTTTGTTTCTTAATTTTTTTTTTTTACTTATTTATTTATTTATTTATTTCAAGCGACATGAACCGTATAATATATATTTATATAGTTTAAAAGAACTATGAGACGAAAACAATGATGCAGTTGACGAGGTGCGGTAGAGTCGTAAAGTCTTTAATCGTATTTAACTATTCTTTTACGACAACATTAAAAAGAGAATATGTTTTAATAATTTATAGTAAAATGCTACTTTTTTCTGAGTATTATCTGAACTAGCGGGCAATGCTATTCAAAACTCGCATATGTGACGTCGAGTTTGTTTCCTTTGGTTTTTTATTTTAATTAAGCCTATGATTTAGCAAATTGTTATGTATATCTAACAGTTATTGAGCTGACATGAGTCATATTGTAAACAAGTTCGTTCAACACAGTCAAGAAAACAAAATAAAATATATTTCACATTTTTCAATATTTATTTTAACTATTTCAATTCTTGTATAACTTGCTTATATTTTAAAATTTTTATTTATAATTATTAAAATAACTAATCGAGTTCTTAGGTTTTCGCGATAGTTACGCGGGTGTAAGTCATTTATATTTGTTTCTTCAAAAAAACCAACGTTTCGGGCCTTTAGAAGTTCCATGGTCACGGCTGACTGTCAGCTGACAGTGCACAAATAGTACGTACCTACAAATACACGCGATTCGTACCCGGACATAAAATAGTTTCATTTCTTATACTCTAATAACACTATATAGTCACCTCTTATGTAGCTCGAGGTTTGTTGCTTTCTTTTACACACTCATAGCCCCGCAATAGGGAAACCCTGTATCGCGGGTGCAATGGACATAAACATAGACAACCACCAATTACAAAGCAAACTCACGAGATAGATCAATTTAGACAATACAAATATTTCTCCGGGCCCTGTAATCGAACCAGGGACCTCTGCATCGGAAACCAGCATGGTCACCGTTCGGCCACGGAGGCCGTTAAATTTACAATTACGGAATTTTCTTTTAGTTCATAATGTTATTCTCCATCGTTCCGTTGTACACGTAATTCCAAAATTTGTCGAACAAATTTGATTCGCGCCAAGAATATAAATTAAAGCTTATATACCATTACATCATTTTAATGAACAGCGGTATCACAGTATGGCAACAGATTTTCCAGGCTGTATACCATTGTAAAACCACAACGACGTGTTTGTGAAGCTAATGAAGGCTTTATAGCGATTATATTTATAGCTTTATATGGATGGGATTCAATTGGTTGTTACCATGCGTACTACAATTACGTTATTGTGAGTAATATTGTGTGTATAACTCTTCTAGAGTTGTGACTTAGTGGTTGTAATTAAAAATAGATATACTATCAAATGGCTTTGGCGGACTCCGTATGACAGTGAAAGTGTTGAATCTATCACTTTGGGAAAAAATATAGTAGAATTGAGGATATACACTGATTTGTTTGTATTCTTTTTTATTCTTATTGTTTATTTATTCGTTTAGTTTGTAACTTTTAATTTATTTACCGCGATGGTGAACCCGGTGTACGGTTAAACAAAAAATGGTTTTTGTTACACCGTTAGCAGCCTAGATTTAAGTTCTTCTTTTTGTACCAGTTTCTTAATAAAAAAAAGGTATATGGTGTGAAAACACGATTCTTAAAAATTTTCACGTTAGAAGAAAAACGCAAACTTACCTCGAGATTTTACAAGAAAACTGTACTTAATAGGTACTTTACGTATACCAACCATTTTTTTTTATATCAACTGAACCCAATAGAATACGTAAAGTATACGATATACATTTTTCAAATGGCTTTTATATTTGTTTGTAAAAAAAATAAATTCTTAAATAAAGCCAGCGGCTCGACCTGCGCAATAGAATCGATTCAGTACGTGAAAAAATTTAATTCGAGCTGAGGTAGTATCGACTTTTAATTTCAATATTTATTATATTTATTATTATAAATTAAGTTTATTGAATATCAGTTTTTACTAGCATGATATTCAATTCTTTTTTGTGAAATGACTCCACTAGTTTGTTATAATTATTAATACAAAGATCGAACACTAAAAAAACTTCTTTTGATTTGATTCGATACAGCGCCTTCAGCATCCCGTGCCTGAAGCCAACTGAGCTACGGAACGAACCAGGCGACCTTACGAGTTTTTCTGTGTGCTTGTTGCAGATCTTTGTTTTTGGTTTTTAACGACTTTTTTTCGTAGCGCGGAATCTGCTGATCTGCGGATCTGTGAGAAATCTATGAAAGTTTATTTTCCATCAACCAGTTGTTAACCATATTTGTGGGTTACTATATCGTAGAAAAAAATTACATATAAAATAATTATGTACTTTACTGTCATTTAAAGTAATATTGTAGATTTTTTAAAATTTATTTAATGTGGGTTTTACCACTCTTACGCTGATAGCAGATAGAATTAGTTTAATGTAGTTCACAAGTGGCTTTAATAATAAGCAAACAAACTGATTTATTCATTAAAAAACCAAATAATTGTCTAAATCCAACTTACAATAATTAATTACGTCGACGACGTAGAAATCTGTGCATATGAACTTAACCTGTTCAGGGACAGTATTATATAATAATAGTATCGCACACCAAATGTCACTACTTTTCTTTGTAGGTGGCAACTACACAGATTTAGTAGCAGTAGAGCTCCTTGTGAAAGAGTTCATCCAGGCAAGTACTGCCACCATAATTATTTCTGCCACCAAGCAGTAATGTCAGTATTACTGTGTTCCGGTTTCGAAGCGTAAGGGTGCTGGTGAAATTACAGACACATGAGACTTGTCAACTTATGTCTCACGATGACAGGCGCAGTGGCAGTGACCTTCAGATCCATCCATCAAGCACGACCGACTTGTTCGACGAACGACTTGTTCGTCCCGTCACTTGATATTATAAAAAAAACACTTGGAAATCGCGCTGTAAAACCCGCTGTTTTGAGATCCATATAGCTAAGTATTTCGTACTGTCATATTCTGATGATTATTATTTGTAAACATGAAGGGTCCATAAAGGGGTTAACACATACTGGCGATATAGTTTACCGAAGTTATTTTTGCATATTTAACGAGGCTTTGGGTGAATTCCTGCGGTTATCGTTGAATATTAAACAAAGCCATCATGATAACTGATAAGAGAATCCGGCTATTGTGTATACAATAACACAAATTAAATATATCAAAGGCATCTGTAATTGTCAAGTGTAAAAAAGTTTCTGTATTTTTCTTCTTTTCGTTTTCAAATGTCGAATTCTCATGGAATTCAGGATGATTCCTAAAGGAGTTAACTGTGTAAGGCAAGGACTTCACTCGTCTATTCTCGACGTATTTTTTTGTGATATCAAGGAACGGGATGATCAATTAATGCGCCTGGTGGTAAGCGTCACGCCTGTCCATAACAGTTGCAGTACCACTCAGAGCTTTTAGTCGCAAAGATCTGAGGGGCACCACCACTGTGCGCGTCACTTTGAGACACAAGTTGACAAGTCCCGTGTGCCTATACTTTCACCAGCACCCTTCGAATCCGGAACGCAGTAATGCTCATATTACTACTTGGCGGCAGAAATAGGTAAGGTGGCAGTGCTTCCCTGGACGAACTCTTTCACAAGGAGTAGAGCTACTAAAATCTTATTCTATATGTTTGTTGTATTATACGGTGTATCGTTAGAATGCTATGTCCATAGTAAACACGCGTTTGCTATGGACACAGCACTACCAAGCTGAAAAACTAAAAGAAAAGTGAAAGGCATTAATAACCGCTCACAGTGTTACCAAATATGACTTTACTTATTTTTAATGAATGATTCTGTACATGGATTAAGATGACGATCAATATATGTCCGCATATACGCCAACATTTCAAATTATTCGACTACATAAGCATGATCTCGAAAACTAAAAACTGTAATAACTACAAACACAATTTGATTTAAACCAATGTAAGAGTTACATAATAGTGAAGCAACCACGTAAACGTTTTGTCTATAAATATTCTTTAAAAATATTTAGTACGAGTATATTCAAAGAGATGATTAAGGACCGTTCGACAGGTAAACAATTTTAAGATATTTATTAGATAATTTCAAGTCTGCAGCACTGTAATATTTCAGCAGTGTTGAATTTTAATATTAGTTTTCGAATCTTTGTATTTCGGGAAGAGAACGTGTAACGTTATGTGCAAGATTAATATATCATACGTATTTGCGCAAGAGAAAATTGGTTGCGTCATGAATTGTAGATAACCTGAAATACAGAAAAATTGGTGAAATTACAGGCACATCGGCACGTCTCAGGGTGACAGGCTCAACTGCAACTGCTATGGACAGGCGTCACTTGGTATCATAAAAAAAAGAAAAACTTTGGATATTTTAATCGTAGTTAACAATTACGATTAAAATATTCCATGTGTACTCCCTGAAAGCTTTTCATTTTTGCGTCACAGCACACTAACGAAGCCACCGTTAAACAAGCACCTGATCTTCAGATTTGAACCTGATGTTTAAATCTAAATCTGACTCTATGTAAATATAAACAATCCTTTGATGATGGACTCGAGAACGTTTTGATGGTTTTATAGATGAATGGCCAACGTGTTGAGTATTTATGATAATTACTCATAAGTCCGCCACAACTCGATCGAAATTAATGTCCTCCCTAAATAAATATTAGGTTTTTGCGCACTTAAAAATAGTCAATTCGATTATTAAAAAAAAAAGAATGTTGTTGAGGTGAATGATTTTCTTCAAAACGAAATGGGACCACTATGGAGGTACCTTCTTTCCAACAAAAAAAGAATCATGAAAATCGGTTCACAAATACCGGAGTTATCGCGTAACATACATACAAAAAAAACATGCAGTCGAATTGAAAACCTCCTCCTTGTTAAAGTCGGTTAATAAATGCAAAACGAAACAGTAAAGCTGGAGTGAAAAATGTCTTGCCAGGTTTGGGGGAAAACAACAAACAGACCCAAATAAAATAA